AGCTGGTGAGGCACTGACGTCATCAGAATCAGATTTGCAAATAGATGCATAGATTGACAGCAGTTTACAGGTTATGTTTCACTTCTGCATCCTTACACATACAAACTGTAGCTCACAAAACACACATTTCCTTAAAAAACAAAACAAAATAAATGTTATTACTGTCTTACCTTTACTTATAAATGAATAGAAGTCCTCCTTATCTTCCTTCAGTTTTAAAAGTCTCTCTGTCTCAATGGAGATCACTGCCAGGGAAGAAAGCCTTCCTTGATCCGTCCTGTTCCTGCCTTATGTTTTCAGTCTCTTGAGCACCCCCTGCCATGAGGCAAGAGAACTGGCTGCCTCACCTCGAACTTGTTCTCTGCCGTTTATAATCGCTCATTACACGAAACACGTTACACAAACACAGTTGGTGACAAAAAGCTCTGTACATTATATACATAAGCCAAATTATTAGAAATAAGTTCACATATTACATTTGTTTAAACCATTTTATTGACGCCGTACAGCAACATGCTCTCTCCGCTTTGCAGCCAGCGCAGAGCCAGGGGTTGCGCAATCCAAGGTGAGGCAGAGCTCGCTGCTGCCTCACCGGCATCGCTTCCAAGCATTTGAATGGGAAAATAAGAAAATTCAGCGATTTTGAACAAATAAAAATCGAAATTGGTGAAGCTACATGAAAAATGAATATTTTTTAGTACAAACCACCGGATGAATATAACAATTTAAATTACTTTATGATTATATATTTTCTTTCTTTCCATGATGGCTGGTGAGGCACTGCCTCACCTGCCTCCCCTGACCGCACGTCACTGCTGGTGTGATATCTTAGTATACATTTGATTAGTTTTTGGTATATATCTTCACCTTGATACAACGAGCTTTGTGTGCTGAGGAGTTGATGGAGTCATTCTACTTTTAATATTTTCTGCCTGGCTTCAAAAGAACAGCCCAGCACTGGTCTTCCCTAGTCTCTCATTTTCATAAAGTGCTTAATTTTTTTTGAAGAATTTTCTCACTGAGCTGGAAGAACAGCTTCTGTGTAGGGCCCTGGTGATGACACCATGCTTTCAACACTAAAATCCTGATAGAGAAAAGATACATCCAGAAGCTTCTCTGCTTATGGCTGTATCATATCTCTCCTCTGACACATAACTCTGCTCTGTGAGGGTATTATACATGATTAAAAGACAAAACTAAAGGATTCAGAGATGAGAACATCAGGAAGTGTCATGATCTGGCGTGACAGCTCACCTTAATTGTTCATTTCACTCACCTCCCCAACTCTCCTCGGTTTTCTAAATATCACTCATCTCATCCACCTGCATCTGTTGCTTTATATCAGTCCGAGCGATCAGGCCAGATCATTATTTGTTTTTCGTTTGAATCTTTGGTTTTTAGTTTATTTCCTGGTTCATGTCCTGGTCCCTGGCAGCCAGTGGGTTGAGAGGTTTCCTGTTTGTCTCGTCTTCTGATCCTGTTCTGATCCCTCTCTGCGGAGCCCTCAGGGTTTTGGCTTGGAACGCAGGGAGGGTCGGTTTTATTCCCGTAAGCCTGGCTCCTAGGAGGAGACATGTTTAAAGTCATGTGTTGTGCCATTCAGCTTATCAGAAAATAATGGTTATATTAAATAACTAGAACTGAAAGTTAATTAATAGGTCATTCAAATCAAGGGTAAAGCTAGTTATTTATTATCAGTCCAATGATTATAACTGTAATTTGCTTACTGACCAGGGTTTTAGCCCTTTTCCTAAATGGGTTAGACTCCTGAATAAGGCTGTTAAAAATCCAGTTGTCCTTCATCATTTTAGTAGTTTAGGCTATGGTTCTTGGCAATATTATTAATCACCAACCAAATAAATGTGTCTCTGTTCATTTGGTTGCTACTGAAAGAAGAGTGAATCCAGCCTGAGTGATAAATCGTTCACTGTGTAAAATTGACACAAAAGACCACGAGTTAAAAATACCACAGTACTTTTATTAGCTACAATCTCACAGTATTATATCTAATAACTAAGCAAAACACTAAACACAAAATCAAACAATAAAAGTGTCCGTTCATAGTACGTGATGTTCGAAGTTTAAGCCTTAATTTGACAGTGTCCTTTATAATAGCAGCAGATAAAATGTGAATAAACCCTGACAAAGAGAGATGTTAACTGCTGTCAAAACAATGAATTTTCGTTCAGTTTAAAGTGAAAATGAATGACTTAGGAAAGCATTAAACTATGATGAGGCAGAAAGACCCTTTTGCTTACTGGCCCCAGGGGATCTGGTTCCGGTCGGGTCCAACTGAAACAAAGAGAGGGTTAGTTCATGATGTAGCAGTTAGCTTCAGCAACACGTGACTTATTCAGTTCGGTGGTAGTGAGCGTTAGCATTCAGTTAAACCTTTAACCATCAGCAGTTGAATCAGAAAGCTTATTTCAAGTAAAACCATCAACACGGCTATCTATTCTACCTGTAGCTCACCCAAGCAGAGCACTTATTAAGCATCAGATGGAAAGGAGGGGGAAAAAATGCTTACTGTTTGTTCCGTGGACGGAAGGCCTTCAGCTCTGTCCAGTTCTTAGCAGGCACGTCTTTGGTCCAGTCCGTCTGTCCAACAGCAACTCAAAGAGATTTGGATCAATCCAATGCAGCAATAAGAGGCGATTTACAAGGGGGTTAATCTTATAACTCATGGTAGCACTCGGGACGTCTCCCTTTTAGCTATGGTGGTTAGCACGCAGCCACAACTGCGCCTCCATAGCGCTGCTCCATCCCACAGGCGGTCAGGGTCCTGCCGCTTCTAGCGGCTTCTTCAGGGAACAGTGATCTGTTGTTCGACGGCATTTAATTGATTAATTCCCTCTCCCTTACAACAGTAACCACAAGTGGAAAAATATTTTCAGCAGTTCTTAACGATGAATGCGAGGAAACTGTCAGAACTTTTGATGACTCGTAAAAAGTTGTCTGAGTATAATAATATATTGTATGCAAATAAAATCAAATTATCACAGAGGTGCCTCCATTTTATTAATGTAGCATCCCACTGCTCTGTCTAGTATTAACTGGAACAAGAATTTAACTAGCTGGTGGGATGTCTATTTGGGTTTGTTTTCTATCCACACCTGCTCCATTTTAGTTGATTGGCCCGTTCTTTGTACTGTCCCGCTAATATATCTACACCTCCTGTGCAGTTCCTTATTGCTGGTTTCTCGTTGTTACTTGGCCCCTCAGGTGTTTGTTTTCCCTTGACGTCTCATTGTTTTTTGGTTTTGTTTTTAGATTTCATTTCTGTTCTCCTTTTTTGATTAAATCAGTAAAAACTCATCTCTGCCTCCTCATCTCTGCTTTTGTGTCCTCAACCAGCCTCCACCCGACCTTGATATTTGACCTTCTTTACCATCCCGGGCTCCATTATGAGCCAATCTTCTGATGTTACTAACCGTTGATATCATTGTACCGATGAACTACCATAAAGCACAATGCTTTAGTCTGCTTTTCCTGCCTCAGCCCAGCAGGATTAAAATGGGTATTAGTCATTTAAAGCACTTTTCAGAAAAAGTGTTTTTTTTTTTTGTTTTTTTTTTTTTCATTCATGTAAATATACTGGTGTGATATCTTAGTATAAATTTGATTAGTTTTTGGTATATACCTTCACCTTGATACAAAGAGCTTTGTGTGCTGACATGGGAGGAGTTGATGGAGTCATTCTACTTTTAATATTTTCTGTCTGGCTTCAAAAGAACAGCCCAGCACTGGTCTTCCCAGTCTCTCATTTTCATAAAGTGCTTGATTTTTTTTTTTTAAGAATTTTCTCACTGAGCTGGAAGCTCAGCTCCTCTGCTCTTCCAGCAGTGTTTCTGTCTACAGTCGAGGGATTCTGCAAGTTTTCAATTTTGATTTCAAGTTTTTGAATTTCATTTTCCTACAACAGAGAAACAGTTTTTTAAAGGGAATTAAATCATCTGAGAGCAGAGATGCAGTGGCATCTGATTCTGTTCTTCTTGATGGGTAAGTTAATCCAAAGCAAAATCTGCTCACCGGTTACATTACAGAATGATTAAATACTGATATAGCTCTTTATCCAGTCAGAGGTTTCCAAACTGCTTCATAATTAGTCGTTCACATGTTAATGGTGTTAAGCTGCACTGTTACCACAGCTGCCCCGAGGCAGCCAGAAGCAAGGCCACTGAATCATCAACAACAGCAGAGAAGGTGGATGATTTAATCAGTGAGAAATCGACTGAGCTGGACAGAGTAGAGAGTTGAACCTTCAACCCACCAGTTACAGAGCAAACTGCCCTCAGCCTGAAAAAATAAAAAGACCAAGTTTTACTGTAAATGCTGGTGGAGATGTTCTTACGTATTTATAAATAAAGCAACCTGTTTTACATTGACAGGTCAGAGTTATTTTATCAACTGTCAGCTCTATGAGTATCACTACATTAATGAGGAAAAGACCTGGACTGAAGCTCAGCAGTACTGCAGAGAAAAACACACTGACCTGGCCACAGTGTCTAACATGACAGACATGAAGAGACTCCTCAGTACCAGAGAAGGATATATGAGGGAAGCCTGGATTGGTCTGTATGATCAGACAGATGGTATCAGAACATGGTACTGGTCTCTGTCTGGAGTGGAGTTCAATGAAAGTGAGACAAAATGGCACCCAGGAGAACCAAATGATTTTAGAGGGATGACTGAAAACTGTGGGGTTCTGTTACGAAATCTTGAATGGCTAGATATTCCTTGTGGAGTTGAAATATGTTTCATCTGTTATGATGGTGAGAATGATTAATTACTTTACAGTAGTTGTTCTTTTTGTGTCTGATCGTACCGTTCTTTTTATACCATTCATTGTATTTTCTCATACAAGGCAATGCAATCTGAGTTTAAATGTTTACTCCACAGAAACTAATAGAACCCAGAAATACCACTTGATTAGAGAGAAGAAGACCTGGCAGGAAGCTCAGAGTTACTGCAGAAAGAAACACACAGACCTGATCAGTGGAATGAAGCAGCTACAAGATGGAGAACTGGAGGAAGTGATGAAATCTGTGGTAGAATGGACATACATATATTTTGGTCTGTTCAGAGACACCTGGAGGTGGTCAGATGGAAGCAGTTTCTCTTTCAGACACTGGAATAAATGGGTAAACAATGAGAGAACCAACAGTGTTCGATGTGCTGTGGCTGGGATTGATGATGAAGGCAGATGGAAGAATGACAGCTGTGATCAGAAAAAACCCTTCATCTGTTATGATGGTGAGTTGGTCCCACATTAATAGAAATGTGTCGGGTTAATGCATGTATGTATTTAATTAGTGTATACTGTGTGTTTTAAAACAAAACTTAGACTGAATTAAAAATACATTTTTATCCCAAATTGTTTATGCTCATTTGAAGAAAATTACAGGTTCACAGTGAGCTTTTTTTATTCATTTGTCCATAGTTTATTTTCTGGTTCTTGTTTCTGAATAGTAACTGAAATAAAGATGGAAATTGGTTTGTTTGGTCCCATATCTTCTCTATCAGATAAAGCGATCCTAATCAAAGAAAATAAAACCTGGGAGGATGCCTTATACTACTGCAGAGATCACTACCATGACCTGGTCACCATCACCAGCCTGGATGAGCAGAGATGGATCCAGGAGAAAGCCAAGAAGGCGTCGACTGATTATGTCTGGATGGGACTGCGCTACAACTGCTTGATGAAGGCCTGGTTCTGGGTCTGTAAGGAGAACTGGGGCAGCAATCAGAGCCCGGCCTCAGAAAGATGGAAGAATGACTGTGACATGTCTGGAGCCATGGATGCAGGAGGACAACATAAGTGGTTCCAGAGAAATCCCTCAGAGGAACTGAATTTCATTTGTTCTAAGAATTAAAGCTCAAGCTGATCTCTGGTGTCATAGTCTTAAAAGCTAATCGTGGTGGGTGAAAAAAAAAGAAAAAAAAAATATATTTTTTGGGGTGTGGGAGCTTTATAAAGAAAATAGAATAAATAAAAAAGCTTTAACTTAGAAACTGTATTGATGGCTGGAGAAAATATATTTCTTCTTGAAGCAATTAGAGCTGCAGCTACTCTCCTGGAGATTATGTAGTCAATCTGTATTTTCTGTGTAAATGATCATAGGCATCTATTCTTAGACCAAATGTTGGAGTAAAACATGTAGATTAATTTAAACAAGATTGTTCTCATCTTATGTTGTGTCGTTCAAAGAGACATATTTGATGATGTTGGACTTTTTCACGTGTTTGCTTTTCAGTAAATGGGTTGCATCTAAAACTGTGTCCTCTATCTAATGAACTATACAGTTTAAGTTGAAGGAAGAGCTGTGAGAGCGATGAGGATAGCTGAGAGAAACAGACAAAATAAGAGTTTTAAAGACACTAACTATTAATCATCACTCCTGGTAATAAAAAAATTGTTAGCTTTAGCTCATAGCTAACAGTATAAAGTCCTGTGTTAATAATTCTCCCTGTTTAAAAATTGAGTTACATTCCAGCTCTAAAAGAACGCTGCTACTAGTTAGTGTAAAATCATTGTGAGGAACCTGATTGTTTATAAACTCTGCATTGTTTGCTGTCTTTCGTCGTTCTGCATCATCAGCTGTTTCTCACTTTATACATAGATGGGTATAAACTGTGAAAACAGAAGCTGAGATCATCAGAGTGATGTCAGTCGATCATAATAATAGCATTAGTAATAATAATAATAATTTACTACCACTATCCGGTCAATGTTGACCTGTAGGAGTCAAACTGGAAATGTTTCATGATTTTAAATATGCTTTTCATGTTATGTTAAATATGTATGTGTGAATAAAAAAATGCCAGCAATTGGATTCAGTTGACAAAGGAGCTCAGTGGGGACAATCATATTGTTACTTTCATTATAAAATTATTTCAAAATGAGAACTTTGGCCTTTATTTTGGTTTTAGTTTGGACTAATTACTCCCACTCCATGTTGGATTTCCTCCAGTCACTCCCAGCCACCAGTCAGCATCATAAGCATCATATAAAAAGCTTATAATGCTTAAGATGCAGCTCCTTGTATTCCTAGAATGCCTGGATACTTTCTCTTAACCACTTTCAGTCTGACACAAGTGGAGAAACTCTCCATCACCATACTATGTGTCCAGCTTTTTCTCTGATCATTTGTTTTTCTCAATAACATCAAATAATCCATCAGCTGGTCTTCCCCTCAATACTAAGAGCTTTGTGTGCTGACATGGGAGGAGGTTCAGGGAGTCATTCTACTTTCCATGTGTTCTGTATTGCAGCAAATCTTGATCTTCACTAGTCTCTCCTTTTTATGAAGAAGTTCCTATTTTAAAGCTCCATTCCAGCTATCATGGTCAGATCATTAGATGTTGTTTTCTGTTCAGTCTGTTGGTTCTAAGGTTCATGTCCTGGATCCTGGCGGCCAGAGGAAAGAGGGTTTTGAATTTGTCCTGTCTCCTGCTCGTCTACTGTTTCTCCCCTGTTGAGCCCTCTGGGTTTTTGGCTCTGTGGTTTGTGTTTTTTTCCTTGGATGTTATTAGGTTAAATATTAAAGTGTGCCGTTTCTTTCTTTCTGAATAGGGGTGATTAGTTAGAAGCTATTGTTCTATTCTTTATGCTGAGATGTAGGGAAAGGAAGGAGGTTTGAAAAGCAGTTTCCTCCCTAGTTTAGATGAGAGGGAAACATAGATAAACAGGTCCTTATTGTATTTAAGATCCTCACGTCCTGTCTCTGGTCTGAACGGAAAACAGTTGTCTGAAATGTTTATCTGAACAAATTTATGTCCTTTGATGAAGTGTTTCTGTTGGGAAGACTCAATGTTCGTGTGTAAGAATTCTCTATATATGCAAAGGGTGGGCAGTGACCTAGTCAAAGCTATACTGGGAGCTGTACGCAGCTGTCTCATATAGTTCTCCTCTGCAGAGTAAAATAAAACCTTTTTTTTCTTCCTTGCATATCAACTCTCAGTGCTCATTTTTACTCCACAGCTCTTTATGAGGGGAGGTTCAGTTTTTATTCCAGTAAGCCTGGCTCAAAGGTGGAGACCAGTTTAAAGGTCCTGCTCAAGTTCTGGTTCCACGTCCTGTCTCGGCTACCCTTTTCCACTGAGCCTGCCCGTCTGCACCTGATTTTGTTTGCTCCTGTCACGCTTCTGGACTCTGAACCTGCCTGGGAGCTCTAGGATGCCTGGAAGCCTGGATCCTGCCTTTTCAGTCAGTTCCTGCCTGTTCTGAATCCCTGTCCAGGATTGGCTTCCTGCAAGTCTTCTGGGAATGCTGCACTGGGGACATTCTTAGTGACGTATGCCACATCTTTCTTCAGTCCAGTGGCTGGATTGTGCCCTTTTACAGGGAGATGAACTGGACTGTTGAACCAGGTAAGTGACTCACTGAGATCATCTTCTTCTGTCAGATGATTGTGGTCACTTACCTGTGTTTCTCCCACCAGAGTGTCTGAGATTGGTCGGTGCCCTGCCCCCCTCCTGCAGCATCCAAGAGTCGCAGATCCACTTAAGTTTCAGTTTGTCCATGTTTTTATATTAATAAACGTTTTGAACTTCTTCACTGACTGTCTCACCTCTGGGTCCATCTGTCTCTGTTTTATGACACAAACTTTGAAGTCTGTATAGCCAATATGTAGTGTGTAGATCATAGCATTCATTTCATTGTATGAAATGAGTGAAGCTCACAAGGAAACTAGTCTATACTCCTGTTTCACTCAGTATAATGTTACCGTTCTGTCCTGCTAAATGGGTCTTCTGATTTAGGAGTTACCTATGTAGCCCTCTTTCACTCACCAATTAACTGAATGTTAAGGCCTGTCTCATTCAAGGGCATAGGTTTGATTTCAAGGGCATAGGTTTGATTTCAACTTTGGTAGGGACACTATTGGTCTGATGTAATTGGTCCTATGCAAAATTATGCATGCTCTTTTTTTATGCTTGATGTGAAAATCAGGGTGTATTTTGTTTAAAGACAAAAGCAGCAATTCTTGCTACATTTGTACACATTTTATAAGCGCTACACACACTATATGCTATTTATCAATGTTTGAAGTCTCATGGGCTCTGATGAATGAGAATTATGAGTTTTTTCCACTTTGAAAAGGTTTGCATTTGAAATTAGCAGCGACTGAGACAGAAAGTAAATCTGTGCCTATTTAACAAAATATAGTCTAAATATGTCTGTTATATGTGAATTTATCCTGTCTTTTTTTTTGAAGATATAAAATTGTGCAGTGGTAAAACCCACACTTATCTTTTAAACATTCTGTCTGTATCATGAAACAAAGCAAAATAATAGATTCAAGGGACACCAAATACATTTATTGTATAGTTACTCTATTTAGCTACTCTCCACAGTTCCAGAGCTGTGGGGCTTTGAAATTGTGGCGTCACCAGCATCTCCAAACCTCTGAAAATGTGGCAAATTTTACCAGTTGTGCCATTTGACCCATAGAATAACAGTTTTGATGGCCGCAAAACATTTATGAAGCAAGTATTTTTCTACCTTTTCTTCATTTTCATCTGATGATTGACTATTATATATTAGCTGTAGCCAATGATATCACAGAAAGTATCTCAGATAATACATAAAATACATTTTCATTTATCCAAATTTCCTTGTCATGGCCTGAAGGTATATGCAAGAATATATGTTATATAATCTCAAAAATTGTGCCTTCTTGTTTTACCAACGACATCTTTCTCAATGGTAATACAAAATGGATATTAAATACCTTTGCTATCATTTAATAAGTTTTCCACAAAGAAGTTGGTTGAACAATAAATCAAACTAATTAAATAAATGTGTTTCAATACTATTATTGAATAAGTCAGGTATGACCACCAGAGGTACTGGAGAATCTCTGTAAAAATGAGATACCAGTAGGTCACACCCTAAATATTCTCATGAACACGAGAAAGAGGAATTGAGCACTGTGGCAGTCAACCAGAATTCAGAGAACCCTATTTACAGGTGTAATCTTTATTCTACGTGATCCCTATTGGACATAAAGTATTGGATGATGAATGTTTAAAGAGTCCCAAGTAAAATTTGTTTAAAAAAAAATATAGAAAATCCTTTTCTTAATGAGATGCCAAAGAAAGCTGCAACAAGATCACATCTGCAGGATATGGGGAAACAACATTTAACCTGTGTGATCTCATAAAAGTGTCAGCAGAAGACGAGACACAAATGGCAACCGAAGGTATTACATGCATCACCACCTGAAGTAACAAGGCCCCAAGTACAATGACAC